GAACAGTTGCAGCAGCAGCAGCAGCAGCAGCAGCAGCAGAAGCAGTAGCAGTAGTGCCCGCAGCAAAAACAACAGGACGTAGAGCAGCAGCAGCAGAACCAATAGCAGCAGCAAAAAGAGAAGCACTAGCAGCAGCAGCAGCAGCAGCAGCAGCAGCAGCAGCAGCAGCAGCAGCAAAAGTCAAGTTGTGCTGCTGCTGCTCTCAGGTACCGAAGTCGCGAATTCAGCAAGACTGCATTTACCTGAAGGTGATTTATTTATTTATTTATTTATTTATTTATTTATTTTTGTTTATTTATTTTTATTTATTTATTTATTTATTTATTTATTTATTTATTTATTTATTCATTTATTTATTTTTAGACTGCTTCAATTGCGGAGAAGCTGTCGGCGTCTTTCGCTTTGGCGCAGTCAATTCGGCTGAGTGTTTATGGTGAGAAATTATTTTTAATTAAATTAAATATTTAATTTAATTAATTAATTAATTAATTAATTTAATTAATTTAATTTAATTTAATTGGTTTAATTTAATTTTAATTTCATTTAGATCCAATTCCCTCTTTTTGCACTCTTCTACCAGCCCAGCTGCTTCTTTAAAGTAGGGTTTAGGGTTTAGGGTTTAGGGTTTAGGGTTTGGGGTTCAGGGTTTAGGGTTTAGGATTTGGGGTTTAGGGTTGTCGCTGCTGCTGGCAGTTGGCTGCTTGCTTCCTCGGTGCCTGGGTTTGAGGGTTTGCGAGGAGACAAGCTTTGCTAGCGTTTAGGGTTTACGAGGGTTTAGGGTTTACGAGGGTTTAGGGTTTGTGAGGGTTTACGAGGGTTTAGGGTTTGCGAGGGTTTAGGGTTTGTGAGGGTTTAGGGTTTGGCGAGCTCTCGAGCTCGCCAGGGCTTCATGTTGGCGACACTTCAGAATCCGGCTTTGGCCAGGGCTGAGGGTTTAGGGTTTAGGGTTTAGGGTTTAGGGTTTGGGGTTTGTGTGTGGCAGAGTGTTTGATAAACTTGACAATAGCGCGGGTTCGCTCCATTCCCGAGCGGATGGCTGCGCACGGCAGCGCAGAAGCTTCTTCAGGGTTTATTTCCGAAATTAAATCAAAAGGATTAAAAGGGTTTTCTTTTTTTTTCAAAAAGATAAAAACAATAAAACCCCCGGAGGCCCACGGGGCCCTTTGCGGGGACTTGTTGAAGAACATCGTCGAAGTCAACATTGTGCAGGGTACCCGACTTGCATTTCTTTGCAAGTTTTTCTCCGATTTCGCTTTTTTTCCGCTCTTTTTGTTTCTTTTTGCGTTTATTTGCCACTATTTGTTCTTTCTTTTGTTTTTCTTTTATTTATTTTCTTTTATTTTCTTTTTTGGCGGAAAAATTGACCCAAAATTCGCCGCTTGCTCCTCCGCTTCTCCGCGGTGTCTGTACACCCGAAATGCTGACCCGCGCTTTCCTTTCCTCCGGCGCTTTCCCAGAAACACCAAATAAATAAATAAATAAATAAATAAATAAATAAATAAATAAATAAATAAATAAATAAATAAATAAATAAACAAAACCAATAAATAAATAAATAAATAAAAATAAATAAATAAATAAATAAATAAATAAATACAAATAAACAAATAAATAAATAAATAAAAATAAATAAATAAATAAATAAATAAATAAGATTTGTTTGTGGATTGATTGGTGAATTGATTTGTGCCTCTGTGGCTTTTGAGTTTGGTGGCGAAGAGGAAATTCAGAATTGATTTCTTTTAACCACCCACTGCATTCCTTTTTGATTTAATTTCTTTTATTTATTTCTTTTATTTATTTATTTTATTTATTTTATTTATTTATTTATTTATTTCTTTTATTTATTTATTTATTTTATTTATTTCTTTCTTTTGATCTCCTGCACTTCGTGTTGTCGCAGTGCTTCTCGGGTGTATCGACAGCTCCGAATTGGTTTCGGGTCCAAACTTTTCGGATTTTTTTCGTTTTTCGTTTATTTGAATTCATTTCTTTTGCTTTTTCTTTTCTTTTATCATTTATTTAATTCTGTTTTGCATTTTAAATGCATTTCCTGTTTATTGCTTTTGTTTTTCGCAGACTTTCGAGACGTCCCGCAGTACTTTTGGAACGACGACAGGTGGCAGTACTTTTGGCGCCGAGTAAAACTCCAAAGTTGAATTTGCGTTTTTTTAAATTTAATTTAAAATCAAAAATGAGAAAAGAAGCTTTTAATTGTTTTATATCTTTAAATTGTTTTAAATAATTAAATTGCTTCAAATCTTTAAATTTAAAATCAAAAATGAAAAAAAAAGTTTTTAATTGTTTTAAATCATTAAATTTGAAATCAAAAATGAAAAAAGAAGTTTTTAATTGTTTTAAATTATTTCCAAATTGAAAACTTTGCAACACTGCAAAAACCAGAAAATTCCAAATTTTAAATCTGCACCAAAAGCAACTGCACTTTCTTTAAATCAAACAAATAAAGAAATTAATTAATTAATTAATTAATTAATTAATTAATTAATTAATTAATTAATTAATTAATTAATTAATTAATTAATTAAT